GAGGAGACAGGAGGAAGCCCAGGAGACAGCATCAGGACAGGAGGAGACAGGAGGAAGCCCAGGGGACAGCATCAGGACAGGAGGAGACAGGAGGAAGCGCAGAGGGACAGCATCAGGACAGGAGGAGACAGGAGGAAGCCCAAGAATCCACCATGGCCTGGTCTTTCCCCACAAGTGGCCACTGTGTCCAGCATACGGAGTCGTGTGCAGTGACAGGGTGCAGTGCTTCCCAGAAGCTCGGTGGCTCAGGCTTTTCACCTGTCTTCATAAAGCCCCTGCCTCCAGCGACCTCTCACTGACACACGCTGCCACTCCTGGACATGGACACGGCTTCATTTCCATTTGCAGATGAGGGAAAGACATGGAGAGGTTAAGGATGACCTGAGTGACAAAGGTAGAGGGGCAGAGAAGATCTGGCCGTCTGACCCCCAGAAGCCACGGGCTGTGCTGCCGCCTGATCCCATCTGTAGCATCTGGCCCAGCAGTAGCTCCTGGCCACCTAGGGAGGCCACCCCCAGGACGTGGGCACGGCTGATCCTTCTGGGCTGTGTGTACACTAACTAGCTCATGGTCAGTGCTCAACAGTTTGTTTAGAGAATAAATTCACAAAACTGGTTTAAAATGAGGATGATACAAAGACAGGAGACACTGCCTGCTTCCGAGGACCAAAATAGGAGTCAAGATGAGTCACCCTACACCTGCTGGTCCAGGCAGGAAGTGCTCTCAGTAGGAAAACAGACGCTGCCACCCATCTCGTAGGCGCGGCTCCTTACTTTCGAACTCCTCCCCAAGGGAAGACTTTTTCTCCAATCGTGGCCAGCACGCTATTCCAGTCTGTCAGGCTGAATTTGGGTATAATAATTTTTACGGGTGGAATAAATATTCTTCCATTTGTGAAAACACTGTAATAAAGAGGAAAACATTCATTAAGGCCTTAAATTTGAGTTGAAGAAAATCAAAGGAAACATACATACATGTATATAATTACAGAACTGAGAAAGCACCGCGGGGACTGAGCAGCCCCTGGTGACATCCCACGCCCCGCAGAGCACCACCTGCACCTGCGGAGAGGTCTCCACGCCTGCTGCGGAACACAGATGCTAGGAAAATACCTGTTTACCTAGTCTAACTAGCCCAGAAAACTGGACAAAACTCTCTCTCCCTTAAAAAAAAGCTGCCTTCTTTATTACAAAGCCCGTGCTTTCTTGGTGTGAAGACGGACAAGACTATCGAAAGCTGGGAACAGTGATAAGTGATAGAAGCAAGCAGGTTTGGAAAACTGGGATATTTCGAGAAAGGCAAAGAGAGAAGCAAGCTGGTTTCAGAGACACCTGGATAGGAGAGAGTTTGAAGAGCAGCCTTAATAGAGAGGGGAGGGAGCTAGATTGGACTAGGAATGAAGAGTGGAATTGAGGGTGTTAGGTGCAGGACAGGCTGGTCTGCAGGGCATGCCAAACAAAGTTAGCTGCAGGATGACCTGGCTTCTCAAACCCTCTGTCTGGTTCTATGTCACCTGTTTGCTTCAAGCCCAAACGCCCAAGCCCCCGCTCAAGGCTGAACACTTAACCCTCCTTGTGCCAACAAGGCAGCTTGCAGACCCAGAGACCCCATTAGATTTGGGCTATAAAAACTCCCTAACTGTTCCTTCCCTTTAAAGTTCATTCAGACTCAGGTGGGTAAAAACATTTCTAATCAAGTTTTTAACCAGCTTCTCCTCGGGAATTACCAACCCCTGGCTACTGATGATACCTCCAGTCGAGACCTATGCCGAATGGACTGACATCATCATGGATCTGGGGTGGCAAGGAACCTTCGTTGATCTGGTTCCTGAAGTTATACCAGTCCTCTCACCCTCCTGTGGGGGCTCCCTACTTCGATGCCCACTCTCATTTAATAACAAAGATGGGGGAATGTTGGGAGTCGCCCCGGCTCCAATGACTAACTTCCCCATCCCCAGAGAAGAGCCGTCCAATGGTGAGCCCTGCTGGCTCACATGATCCTTACTCACCAATCAGACTAGCCCTGCTGGCTCATATGATCCTTACCCACCAATCAGACTAGCCCTTCTGGCTCACATGATCCTTACCCACCAATCAGACTAGCCCTGCTGGCTCACATGATCCTTACCCACCAATCAGAAAGTACCCCATGCCAACTGTCAAACCTTTAAATTGTTAAAATGTCATAACTGTCAAACCACCCCCGGCTCTATAAATATGCAGAGCTGTTCCTCAATAAATGGGCATTTTCTCTGACCACGAGTCTTGTTTGTTCTTTCACCTGTTTACATAATCTAACGAGCCCAAAAAACTGGACAAAACTCTGTTCCTTAAAAAGCACATATATGCCCTCAACTCCCTGATGGATAAAATGGAGGAAAACTGTCACATGGAGAACAGCACGCCTGAACTACGCAGCCGCTTCCCTCCCGGAGGGGAGACCTGCAGAAGGCATGTGCAGTCAAAGAGGAACTGACTCCCTCTCGCAGTCTTGAGGCGGTTTCCCTGTGAGCCCAGGGGTCTGCTCCATTATCTGTGTTGGGCTGGAGGGGAGGCCTAGTGGCCTCTCAAAACCCATCGCAAAGTGATTGGCACCCCCACGTCAATCACCAAGCCACATCAATCACCCCTTGACAAGTGTCAGACTGTCGTAGCTGGAACCAAAACACAGCTAAATACAAGGTTTACTTTTCTACATCTATCAACAATAATTAATATCCTTCAGCAATACACAGTGGCTTTTCATTTTTCCATATCATTATTTACTATCACCATTATTTACTATCACTATTTTTCCCTTAAATGCAAATAACTTAGAATTTAAGGCACATATGTCTTTTTCTCAGAGTGAATATATAATTTTTAATGTGTTGTCACAACAAAGAAAATCCATTTTCTCTGCTAAAGCTTTGTGGCAACTTCTTCCATATTTAAAACTGCCCAAAATAAACTATAGAAAGAAATGTTGTATGCAGTCCATGAATGCACAATTTATTAATGTTACTACCACAATAAAAATCTGCTACAATGTTTTCCTAATTGGCTTACAATGAAAGTCTAAATATAGAATACTGATAGTAATAAAATAAATATTTACAAAACACCACATTATATTTTTGCCTAAACTTCAAAGACATTTAATATACATTGTATCCTGAGTGCTGAGAAACAGATGCACTCACACAGTCGGACACAGTCAGTCTTCCTGAAGGACACTCCAGCCATACAGACCAACACAACACAAGAAACCAGGAGCCACCAGCTCCGCCACCTTATCCCACAGAAATGGGGACAATGACTTACGGTGCAGAGATATTCCTCATACAATCACTTATAACAACAAGGATAGAAAGGTCTCAATGTCTCAGTCTATCCTTAAGGTAGAAATAGGACTCAGTTCATGACCCTCCCCAAGATTCCCTAATAGCATTTAAAACTGGGGGGATTTTCAGGCTCCACCAAACATCCCGAGGGTTATTAGAAAACTTTACACCTGTCCTTCCAGTCCATGAAGGGACACCCTCTAGTCCAGGATCTGAGTTCCATAAAAAATTGGCCAAACCCAACCTCTCACGGTGCCCAGCCCCAGCGCATCCTGTGTGAGGCCCTTCCAACACCCGCCCTTCACGGCCAGGAATCCATGTTCTGCCTTCTCTGCTCCCTTTGTGAAAGTCCCCAGCACTTGGCTGACCACCCCTGGGGAAGCCGACAGCATTCCCGGGATCTGATGAGGCCCCTACCCACTTCTCACACACCAAAGTCAAACTCAAGGGATGCAAAGTTCCCAGGAAACGCCACTCTAATCCTGATGGGGGTGATCTGTGTTCTGACGGCTGTGGACCTTATTCCTCATACCTCTTCAGGAACCAGCAAAAAGGGGCGCAGGTGGCTACAGACGAAGCTCATCTGCACTCTGTGTGTCCAACATCTGGGCCAGGAGATGTGGGCCCAGGAAAGACAACCTCAGACCAGCCTCTGCTGTTCTTCATTTCCTTCCTCCAGAACCAGAGGACTACAGAAACGCTTGGGGTGTCTGTGGGACGTTGTAGGCTGCAGAGACCTAGTTCTCTCTGACGTGCCTCATTAGTCAATGGTGGGGAGTCACCTCCAGAACCTGAAACCTGGAGCCCCCATCCAAGGAGGCTTTGCAGAACCTTCAAGGATCTTGACTTTCACCCACACCCTTCAACTTCCCAAGTGCCCCCTGCCTTTTTCCTTGTTTCTGCATGAAGTAAGAACCACATGGAGTGTTATCTAAAACCTAATGAAGAGAGAGCTCAGGGACACGATAGGGCCAGATAGCTAAGTCACACCCCTTGCCTGTGAGCCACAGCTGCCTGACTCTGCTCCTCCAGCGTGGTACTGGCCAATGGCTGCACAGAGGGGCCCCTCACTGTGCAAACCCCACTGCTTGCTGGGACACAGCACTCCTGCACCCCTCGCCCCCTCCCATGAGACTCCACTGCTCTCCCTCCCAATGTCAACACACACTGGGTGACACAATTTCAGTATGTGACAAAGAATCGTGACACCAGTGGGGACACGGCCAAGTGGCAGAGCTTCCAGAGCACTTCACTATGCTGTTCAAAACTTACGGACACAAGAAACCCGGGGGAGCCAGAGCATCTGGCAAATACCCCCAACTAGCAAATGCGAATAACCTAAGTGGTTTCCAAGCCTCGGGCCACACCCCTGGGACCCACTTGGAGCCCCACATCCCTGGGGAGATTATTTGAAAGGGACAGCTGCTGGGGAGAAGACCCTCATGGCCAAGGAGCAGCCTTGGACTTGGAAGGAATCACATGGGAAGCCAAGGTGTCTGGTCCACTCAGGTGGCCACTGGGTGGCCGCCAAGACCACTCAGAGGAGAGGAGCACTCCAACAGCCATGGAATGAAGGGAGCTGTCCCGGCACATGGGCTTCCCCCAGCCTGAGAACGAGACATGGATGGTGCTTCCTGTCCCTGCCTCCTCATACTTGCCACCAGACTAGAATCCTGCTTTTATTCCTTTATGCCCCATTCCAGAGACCACTTGTCCTTGCCCTAAAACACACCCAACCTTTCCACAGTGATCCTCTTTCCTCTCCATTCCGCTCTGTCCTGAGCTTCATCAGGATCACCTAACCTCTGGTCGTTTCTCCAGGCCCGAGAGACAGAGCTCTGCTGGCCTCAGGAAGCATGGGCTGCAAAGCCTGCCACAGGCCTTCCTGACTCATGCCCAGGCCACCCTTAGGGCTTGGTCACCTTCCACCAGTGCATTTCTAAGTGAACAACAGAACAAAGGTCCCCAACCCTGTCCTCCCGAGGTTCCCTGACCTGACCTTTTCATGTCCCATGGCAATCTAAGTTGAGCCAGGAGAGGGTCTCAGAGTTCCTGTCACTTTTGTGAAAGAGGAGGTGGAGGAGAACACTGGTGGGGGGACCTCAGGCTACACAGCCAGTGCCCAGACCAGGACCAGACCCTGACCTCAGCCTCCAAACAGTGGCTTCCCAGCATCACCAGCAACTCCCACCCAGCAGGCCAGGGACCCCAGAGCCTCTCCACTGCAGGGCAGCCTCAGAACACCGACTCCACAAGCCACATGTCCAGCGGCCTGGGCCACCACGGCCAGGTCGGAGCCTTCTCCCTCTGAAACAGGGAAGACTCCCTCCTAAGCCATTTGTCTGCAGTTATGAGGTCTCCAAGCAATCGTGCTCAGGTCTTTCCTTCACTTCGATGGCTGTTTAGTTCCATCTAGTGGAACTCTGAGTCCACGATACAGAGATGAGCACATGCTACAGGAGCCGGGGTCCATATGGAGAAAAGCTGCCGAGCAAGAGTCGGCCACGTCGGGCCGTGCCCATGGAGTGCAGCCTTGGGGACGAGGTCTTATCAGGAAGGACCCACAGTCACTGGGTACCCTACCATTCTACAGAACAGGAATTTAGAAACCCTGGGCCTTTAATCGTCTCGAAGCAGCTCTCATACTCCTGAAGCAGCATGGGAGACCTCATGTGTTTAAGTGGCTCGTCACAGAAGCCCAGGGTAGGGTACTTCCAGGCACGCTCCCCGGACCTCCAAGGTCCCCGAGGAGCTGAGCGCGGCTGACTGACAAGGTCTCCTCTTGGCTTCTCAGCTGCGGTGTGCTGGTCAGGCAGATGGTCCCCAGCCCCCTGCCCAGTCCCTGGTCCCAGGTGAGAGGGAGCAGGGCTAAGTCGGGCCAGCCCGGCCACTGCCAGGTCCCGCAACTCTGAGCTCCTGATCCAGGACAGACGCGACTTTTTCTTTGGGGGCAAAACATGGCAAAAGGGAGGAACGACCTGAACTCCCCCTCAGGGATTTAAGGGGGCTTAGGGCCACCTACAGAAGTCTGACCCCTGATGAGCTCGGGTGGGTTCTGCACAGGTCACCTCGGGCCATCCTCCCACCTCGAGGTAGCTGCCTCTGTCCTGCTCGACCAACCAGGGAGCAAGCCCAGAGTCAAAGCACGGAAAGTCCCAGAGCCAAGAGGAAGAGCAGGAGACAGCCCTGTGTCCAGTCCAGCGTGTTCAGCCACGACCCCACCCAGGGCGCTGGGCCTCACAGCTCCTGCTCAGTATGACGTGTCCCGAGCATGCAGCTTCACACGTCCCCTCTCAGGGACACCTGGTGGGACGAGCTGGCTCCAAAAGGGCCCTGGGAGTGAGAGCTCACGGTGGTGGAAATGTTTCCTCTCGACACCCAACAGCTGGAACTGCTGGATTAAGAAACAAACCCACCACCTACAGCTCAAGAGCCCTTACTTCTCCATCCCCAGGAAAACTGTGCTGTCAACACTGGCTCAGCCACTGGGTCGCTTCCCTAATTCAGGGTTCAAGAGAAGAAAGAATGTGGAGCACAGACAAGGCGCTCAGGGAGGGAGTCCCTGCTGGAGAGAGAGGAGAGTCAGCCGCGTGGGAGGCTTCTCTTCAAGGAGCGACGGCAAGGGCTGAGTCCTCACCCACGACACTGTACTCACTTAATGTTTCGGGAAAGGCGGTGATAGGACTGCCACCTGGAAGGCACGTTCATGTCACAGTGCACCACCGGCTTTATCTGGAGACAGAAAATGCAGGCCTTAGAGTTCGTTCAGATTAGCAAACGCTTGCTAAGCACCATCAGCATGCACAGTGCCACCCCAAACCTAAGTGAAGGTGGGATCTCTTGTTGATAGAACACCCCAGGAAGGACCCTGGAGGACTCAGAGAGGGGTTGTGTGCTTGTATGTGGGGCAGACAGGATCCCAGGGACAGTGTGGGGTAGTTGGGGCTGCAAGCCACCTGCCCCCGTGGTGAGAAGCTCAGGTATAAAAGTGCAGAGTGCCAAGGACCAGGGTGACAGGCAGAGGGCCCCCAGGGGGCTGCGCAGCTCACACCAGACACACCCAGCAGTTCACCCAACAAGCACGAGCCAATGACCTCTGTGCCACCCCTGAGGCTCTGCTGGCCAACCCCTTGGGTCCTAAGGATGGTCAGGGTGGCTTCTACTCTCAGGCCACAAGCTTTGAGCCAGACATCCTGGCCAGCAGGTGGGAACAGCTCCCCCATATTCCACGACCCTTCTCGACTCTCCTGAGAACACAAGGCAGAGCCAACTCTGGCCTGTCATAGCTTCAGCCTTGAGAGACAGGGTCGAGACCCCCCAAGTGGGAAGGAATGTCTGAGTCCTGCACAGAGGAGCAAAGTCTGCTTTCCCTGCCCGGTGGCCAGGCGCATGCAGAAAGCAAGCAGAGGGAATCCTGAAGAGCAGCACTCACCACCCCTACCCCATTTTGCACAAGGCTGGGCTGCCTGGAAAGGCCCCCACTTCACTGTGGCCTCCCCCCAACCCTGCCTTTAACCACGTGGCTCTCTGCGGTTCCAGCCTGCCAGGTGGAACGGTGCAGGGCCCTTCTCCCTCCCATGCCGCCCTTCAGATCCAATTGCCCAGGTCCCTCCTGTCTGTCTCTGCAGACAATGTACCCATGTACCCCCCCACACACCCTGCATGATACAAATCCTCCCCTCTCCTCCTTGGATGATGGGAGGTTCCCGCCAGGGTCCCACTGTCACCTCCCGAGATGCCACATCACCCTAACCACTGGCCAGCAGGACATGGCTGTTCCCCTCCATCCATAAAGTAAGCCCAGACCCCACCACCTGCATCCTGTCTCACTGTCCCACGCACCTGGCCACCTTCCTCTGCTCTTGGCCACTCCACACTGCTCTGTCAGGGTCCAGTCAGACACTCTGGCCTCTGCTACACTGAGGCCTTCACCCCGAGGCTCCAGCCTCCTCCTCCACCTACCAAGCTCACTGCCATTGCTGAAGTGACATGGCAACAGCCCTCCCTTGCAGCACGAGTAGGACCAAGCCCAGTGCCCCTCACACCACCCGCTTTACTCTTGCACACACACTCTGCAGAGATGCCCCCATGCCCAGCCACCTCTCTCCACACCCCGGAGACCAGATGGACTCCACCCACACCTCACACTGCTGAGCCCCCTCCCCTTGCAGGCTCCCAACCCAGGCCTCACCTAGAACACCAGACAGGACACCCAGTTGCTCTGCACCCGGTAGTCTGCCCTGCAGCTGAGTGTGACAAACACCTCTCTGCACACTCCCCAGCTTGACTTTGCCACCCGCCTGCTGCCCCGGGTCTCCACTGAGCCTGCCACCTCCCAGATGCCCACTTTGAGGCCTGCTAGAGTTAGACACCACCTGAGCATTCCCTCAAGGCCTCCCAGGGCCTGTCCCCTCACTGGTCAGACCGTCCTCAGCTCACCTGCAAGATGGGCACACGGTCTACTCATTTGGGAAGCTCGCCTGAACACTGTAGGTTGAGAAGTCACCCCCAAAAGCCCCAGCCCAGGTGCTCTGGGTTCCACACACACTGGCAGGGACAAGAAAGAACCAACACCTGCCCCACGCCTCCTGAGAACCATGTTCCAGAAGGAGGGTGCTCTGGGCGTGTCTTATGGGTCCTGGGAGAAGGGTGAGGAGATCCAAGAGGACAGAGCCACTGCCGGGAAGGCTGATCCAGCACCTGGCTGCAGCCTGAGATACCATTAGACAGAGCAACCCTGACCTGCAGCCCTCGAGGGGGCAGAGCCAGGCCTGGCAGAGCCTGGCAGGCTCTGGAGCTGGAAGACGAGGTCAAAACCCAGCCCTATTTCCAGGAGAGCTAGTGCTCCTCTCTGGGCAGCCGTGTTTGCTTTTAGAACAAGGATGACCTTATAAAGTGCTCATGAGAATTAGAAGGGTTTCCACAAAGCAAAGGCGACCCCCATCACACAGTGCTAAGAACTCCATGCAACTAACACGAGCCCGCACAGGCACACACGTGTGCACGCACGTGGAGGGCAGCACGTAGCTCACGTAGGCATCTGAGTCTTATTTTGGCCCAAGCAAAATTGCCAGCTTTACCCACAGATGGTCCCCAGATCTCCCTCTCTCAGAAGATGGTGCCACCAAGACCCTTTTGTCCAACTTCAAAATCCCTAGTGCCCACTGCTAAGCCCTCAGCCCCTTGGCAACTCTACGGCAGCACCACCCCTTGGACTGCTGGCTTCCCGCGGCCCCAGGCTCCAGGCTCCCACAGCCCAACACGGCTCTTGCTGCCCGGCCCCCGTGCGTTCTTTGCAGCAAGCAAGGAGCAGCCTTGCAGGTTGCTCTCTGCAGCGCCCACGCCCACCAGCCCATGCGAGCTGGCACCTGCTGCCTCTCCTCCCCGCGCCCCCCACCTCTGCACCCCGTGCTCTGGCCCTGGGCCCATCCTTTCAGCTATGCAAATGCCACAGCTGTCTCTGCCCAGTACTGGGCCTGTGTGGCTTGCTTTCTCTCTCACTGAGCAGCCACTCCATGTCCTCTTCGAGGGTCTTCCCTGACCACTCACACACTCGGCCTGCTTCCATCACGTCACTTCCGTTGCCTCGGGTTTTCTTGCTCACCCGCCTTGTGGAGCCCGACTGACCCTCCTGAGAGCGGTCAGATCCACAGGGGGCCCGCCGCCTGAGGAGGAGTGGCGTGGACTTCAAGGCTTTCACAAGCACAAATGGAGGAAGGGAGAGCGGAAGATGGCAGGACAAGAGCAGGACACCTGAGACCGTGCTCAGGACCCCGGGAAAGAGAGGAGCCTGGGGACTGCAAGTGCACCCACCCCTGTTCTCACCTGCCATGTGCCACACAAGATCTACTCACCTGCGCCCAAACACTCCTCAAAAATCAAGGCCACGAGTATCGACAACTAGCCTAACTGTACAGACCGTGTCTGAAAGCACCACAACAGGGATTTTCCTCTGCAAATTCTATGAAGGGAGAGCCGCTTAAGAACCGCTTTCTGCCTGATAACATTGAGAAACAAAGAGCTAATTGCTCTTTCGATGTGTTAATGATTCATCAACCCTGATGTCACCTGTCTAATTAAATAACTCCAACTGTTGAGGACGCCGTTCTGATTTTTTTGTTCCCTGTACTTCTCATCAAGTGTCAGGTAAAGGTGCTTTTCTGCTACTCTCTGATGGTGGTGACAGTTTCATTCACACGTGTCAGAGCCACACTCCCATGTCAGTCATCCGTCCTGAGAGGCTGAAGGACCAGGAGCTATAGGCCTATTGGCCAAGGCACTAAAATTTAAGCAACGAGAGAAGACACTGAGATCACCACGGACGCTTCTGCCTGTAGCAGCTCCAGCTTGCAGAATGCCAACAGGCTCTGCAAAAGACTCTTCCACACGTTCATGCCTGATCATCAAAACAACAAGGCCCCATATCCAGGAGGCCGAGGCAGGAGGATTGCAGAGTGACCCAGTTCAAGCCCCAGCACCACATTAAATGTGCACATCTCCAGGTAGCAGCGAAGAACAGCAAGACATCCAGGCTGCCCTGAGCCCTCAAAACACATTCTATTACCGTTCCTAGGACGAGTCCTATTGTACAACACAGCAGAGCGCTCGGGCCTGTGCTGACTCCCGCGATCCCAGCACTGGCCGCCCTCCGAGCTGTTCAACCTCTCAGCCATCCTTCCTGCAGCAGTGCAGTTAACAGCAGCACTACCTCCCAGCCGCTGCTTTCCACACGAGTCATCAAACAAGAGAGTGCGCTGTCCAGAGCTTAGTAGAAGTGGACGCCAGCCAAGGGCTCAACTGACAAGAACTGCTCTTTGTCCTCCTCAGGCTCCAAGTCCCCGGTCACCTCCTCATGCTGTTCCAAACCCTCAGCCCTCTCCATGCAAAATATCAAGCAAAGGCCCCGGTCACTGAGCCACCACCAAGGACTCAGCAACCTTCCCCTCGAGCCCCCTCGCCTCCCAATGCTCTGTCCCCTCCCTGCCTGCCTTTTCCAGCAGCCACCGTCCACGGGCCGTTTCCCAAGGAAAAGGAATCATATCATACGTCTGCCACCCAGAACCTCCACTCTTCCATCCCTCTGCTGGTGCAAGAAGGATGAGGACCTGCTGCCTGCTGCTCTCAGGATTCTATCCACATGAGAATCCAGCAGAGAGACCCTCACCACTGTCCAGGGGATCACTGATGATTACGATGAAAAGAAACTAGTAATTCAGATGCTGGTAGAGACGGGACTGGCTGGGGACGATCAGCTGAAGGTTCATGGGTTTTAAGTGCTTGTGGCTCACTGAAGCTTAGGGGATTTCCTTACAATAAGTAGAATTTCCCTTTTGTCCCTTGTCACAAGTTTAAAAGCCTCACAGCTTGTATAACGTAACCACTTCTGACTTGGATTAGCATAACTCATCCATGAAATAAACTGAAAAGAGAAAAAAAATCAAGCAAAAAAGGCTCAGGAGACTGTGGCACCAAGACCGCAGGTGGTAGGCACATCTGGGGGACCCTCAGGAGGAGGAGTGGTGGTCAGCCTGAGACCGGAGGGCACCTTCACAGGAGCACTGTGGGAAGAGCAGGGTCTCTAGGCTCGTCTCCTAGAGGAGGAAGGTCTGGTCAGACCCTCAGTCCACAATGCCGCGAGCAAGGGGACCATCCGCACCCTCTCCTGGGGGGAGGCGTCTTGCCAGGGCAGCCAGGCCCAAGCAGGGACATCAGGCAGGGGAGGCCAGAGCTCG